AAAATGTGGATTGCATTGGGACCTTTCACGTGTCCACATGAATTTTGCATGTAGACAGGTTGCTTTGACACCAAAATGCGTTTGGTGTGAGAACACACTATAAGAAATTGTCCAAGCTGCTTTGGACAACCTTGTATTCTATCATTCTTGAGAAAGAACCTTAACCCTGGCTGGATTAGTTGGATGCAGTGTTCAAAGTTACAGTGAACAGATGTCCCCCCGGGCACAGTTGCCTCTGTTTTGGGCATAAATGTCCCGATTTTGGCTGATTATCAGTGAGTGAGAGGGGAAAAATTTTTTGTGTAGACTTATTGTAAATAGCATTGTCGAATTCTATGTGCAGGACCACAGCTGTTTCAGTAGCTGGGTTACTGGTTAGCTAGCTATGCTTTAACAGTGCAATATGAGAAAGAGAGTGCAACGCTTTTATTTATTTATCACAACTGGCTTCAACTGATGAGGAGCTGCCCTGCATAACACACTGTAAGTATTTAAATCAATAAATTTCATTTGTATTGGGCTGATCCTTGTGATAAATGTTTGGTTCTCACTCAAAAAAAAATACTCTATCTATATATATATTTTTAGATAGTATAAGTTATGTTAAGTTGTTTTGCTAATTTATGACTGTGCTTTATGAGCATAGACTTCCAGGCTAAGGTTTTCTACTACTTATTTTGGATATCTGGAAATTCCACGTGAAAAAATAGGAATCAGTTACAGGAAAACTGATTGAGACAAGATCTGCATGATCTAAAACTGATGGAGTAAGAGATAAAGACCTATTTAGTGGTAATTTACTATGTTGTTTTTGCTTGTAGCTCCAAATATAGTGCAATTAGCATTTTTAATTATATTTAATTATTTAATCCAGTGAGATAATATTAATAATTATTATTATTTACCTTTGTTGCTATCATGATTAGTATGATGAGATTAAACCAGGATAAACCATCTTTTCTAAAATAAAAAAAACCTAACTTCCAAACTTATTAATCCAGGTGTATCTGTCCTCAGTAGCCAGCCAGACACACTTTCCAGTAATGAAAGACAGTAGACAAAGGTAGCAGTGGTAGCAGGAAGCAGTGGAGTTGTAAATAGAGCTCATTAAGCCATGCATACACTGTACTATTTTTTTGCCCTTTCCAGGCAGATTCACTAGTTGTACGAGAATTATTTGCATTGGGCCGAGTTACAGACACATTGTACATCTTGTGTTGTGTAGTACACTGTCAGGTTTTCACGTTTATTGAAAACAGAACTGCAGTGAGCAGCATTGGTATCTAAGGCATGTGCCGTGGAGCCAGGAGATCAGAGGTCTAAAGACATGCTGAGGGAGAATCCAGAATGCAGTCGGGCAACAGTTCCAGATTCGTTACACAGAGAGGCAGAGATCCGGCAGGAGTTAGAATACAAGTCAGGCAAACAGATTAGAAAGGGGATGGGCAGGCTCAGAGGTCGAGAGGCAGAACAGGTCAGTATCAGGCTATCAGAAACACAGGAATGATAAAGAACTCTCACCACACTACGCTCTAATAATCTGGCACTGATGACCAGTCTAAAGCCTGCATTAAAAGAGAGTGAAGCAGTTGGATCAGATGAGCGATAATGAGAATTGGGCGGAGATAAATAGGTGAGTAAAATGAGTATTCAGATCAGACGTCAGCCCCAAGATGACAGTATACAGTGAGTAACGAGGGGCAATTAGCTTATCATAACCACCTCCCTATTAGGAATTGTAAGGTAGGAAGAAAATCAAACACATTTGAAATATAGACAGCCCTCGTATGGTGTTTGTGTGCAAATACTTCTTTTGAAGCAGAGCTACGAGTGTCTACGAGCCGATCTACCAGAACCTTGCAGATTTGCAAAGAAGGGAGTTCTTCCTCTTCTTTCAGATTGATAGGTCCAACCAGCGCAATCTTTCAGTGCTGAGTCTGACGTGTGGTTTTTGGACGTACATTGTGAGCAGTTACAGTAGATCTCATCAGAGTATTGAGCCGTATAGTGTTAGAACATACATCATGAGCTGTTTCTTTTCTTCATGTCACTCTCCCCTTGGGGGTGGCCAGAGTCTTTAGGTCCCTCAGAACTGGAAACCATTGCTAACCATCCTTGATCCCTCCCCTCCAACCTTTACCCATTTCCCCCGACCCAGAGACACAGTTCCAGTTATCTAACACTTCAGTAGAATTATTAGACAGCATGGGATCAATTTCCACTGTAATGATACCCAGCTATATCTGTCTATAAATCCAGATGAAGCTAACCCATTACATGGATTACAGGCATGTATCCAAGACATACAAACTGGATGACACTTAACTTTCTGCTCCTAAATGCAGACAAAACAGAAGTTATAGTCTTTGGACCAGAGTCTTTGAAAAATAATCTGATTAGACAGTCACTTCATTTGGATGGGATTAAACTGAATTCAGATAATAAAGTAAAAAATCTTGGTGTTATTTTTGATCAGGACCTGTCATTTAAATCCCATATCAAAGAAGTTTCTAGAATTTCCTTCTTTCATCTGTGCAGTATTGAAAACATTAGAAATATCCTGTCCAGGGGTGATTCTGAGAAACTAGTCCATGCATTTGTTACTTTAGGGCTGGACTATTGTAATTCTTTACTATCAGGAAACTGTAGTTAAAAGCCTTCAGCTGATCCAAAATGCTGCAGCCAGAGTTCTGATGAAAATTAAAAAGAGAGATCATATCTCTCCTATCCTGGCTTCTCTTCATTGGTTTCCACTTAAATGTAGAATAGAATTTAAAATCCTCCTTCTCACATATAAAGCCTTAAATGACCAAGCTCCATCTTATATCAGAGAAATGATTGTTCCTTATGTTCCTAACTGAGGACTTCGCTCTCAATCTGCAGGTTTACTAGTGGTTCCTAGAATTTCTAAAAATAGAATGGGAGGCAGATCTTTTTGTTATCAGGCTCCTCTCCTCTGGAACCAACTAACAGTTTAAGTCCGTGAGGCAGACACCCTGTCTATTTTTAAGGGTAGGCTTAAAACTTTCCTTTTTGATATACCTTATAGGTGAGTGGCTCAGGTTATCCTGAGCTATTTCAATAGTTATGCTGCTATAGGCTTAGACTTCTGGAGGACATAGGGACCCCTTTTTCATAATTCTACTTCATTCTATCTCTATTCTCCCTCTCTGCAGAATCTGTTAGTTCAATCTCTAACATTATGCTCTCTCTGCTTTTTCTCATAGTAGCTTTACCTAGTCTGTTCCTGTTTGGCTGCAACACATCCTGGAGAGACATGTCAGCTGTGCCATCTGCCATTAATACCTTTATTTATAGATGTTCAATATCGGCCTGTTTTTCAGTGTAGTTCTGTTTCTCTGACCGTGACTGGGTGGATGTGCTCTCTTCATCCTCTGACATGGGAGCTGGCTCGGAGCTCATCTGCCTGGCTGTGTGTTTCCTGGACGGGGCCGCCTTTTACAGCTGCTTTTTGTATCTCTGCTTCTGTGTCCTTGAACCCCAGTCGGCCTCGGGACATGGCCGCTCACACTGAGCCTGGTTCTGCTGGAGGTTTCTTCCTGTTAAAAGGGAGTTTTTCCTCTCCACTGTCGCTACAAGCATGCTTAGTGTGAGGGATTGTATTTGAGTCAATGAGTCAATGCAATCAAATGTTTTTTCTTAGATAGAAAACTCTGTATCAATTTGACTGTATGATCTGGTTGAACTGTAAAGTGCCTTGAGATGACATGTGTTGTGAATTTGGCGCTATATAAATAAACTGAATTGAATTGAATTTATATGATGAGGCATAGCAGATAGAGGGCAGGAAATACATAATAGTAATCAGGGTTGCCAAGCTTTAGATGTGACAAAGGGATGTTAAAAGGGAGCTGTTCCTCTCCACTGTCACTACAAGCATGCTTAGTGTGATGGATTGTATTTGAGTCAATGAGTCGATGCAATCAACTGGATTTCCTTAGATAAAAAAGTTTGAATCAATTTGACTGTATGATGTGGTTAGCTGTAAAATGCCTTGAGATGACATGTGTTGTGAATTGGTGCTATATAAATAAACTGAATTCAGTTGAACACTATTGATGTTTTATTTGATCAATCTTAGGAAATACAGGGTGGAGAGGCACATTCCTGCCTTTTGCACTTGATTTTTTGGTTTTTAAAATTTTAACAGATGTGTAAAAACAAATGAAACCATTACTGTAAAATTTCCCTAATTTCATCTTGATTAAATCTAATTATTTTTATCAACAAGCTTAAATGTGCCTTGATTTGATTTTAGAAATCTGCAAACTGTAGTCAAAGTTCATTTTAATGCAAATTGGAAGTGACAAATAAAGTCGGTTATTCCTGCATGAGACCAAACATCTCACGGTAAGTCAGGCAAACAAGGGTAACAACGAGAGATGATTGTTATTGCAGTTCAGTCTTTATATGATTCAGAACAGGACCTCCCATTTTTTTTAAAACATGGGACTTCTTCCTACCTAGATTAGAACTGAGAGAGCTTTTGGGATGAAAAACAAAATGTTTTCAAGTCCTGTTATTTTTATAACTTTTTTACTTTTTTGAACTACCTCGCCCTGGTTGACAGAAAATCTTCCCCAGCAGTGGAACTGAGTCACATCTGATAAAAACTGATCTGGATCACACAGGAGCGGACTATTGTTGTTTTATGTGGGCAAAACGTAAATGCAAGCATAGTTTTACATTTAAATGTACCACTAGGGAAAGAAAAATATAATTAATTAAGGTAAAAACATAGCACGCTATTTTAAGGTAGTGTACCTTTAATGTCTGAAACAAGATGTATGACACAATATAATGGTCTAAGGATTTTATTATTTATTGTGAACATTAATGTTATACACAAACATACAAAAACAACCTATTTTTTTGTTTCTTGTTTTTTATACCACATTAGGTTAGTTTTTATACCACGTTACGATAAAGAAGTGAAGCATACCAATTTGATTACAACAGAAAGGCCATAAGGGGCAAAAATGTTAAAATAATTTATTTTAAAAAGCTATGCAGCAAAACGGCAAAAGGAATAAACTGCTGCTTACAAGGGAAAGATTAAGATTCAGTTCTTAGAACAGATGAAATTAAACTCTGCAAGATAATTTATTTTTGTCCACCAATATTTTTCTCTTGCCTCTATGGCTCCAGACATGTCACAGTCATCAACAGGTCCATTTGAGGCCCAGTTATTATAGCTAACTACCTCATCACTGACCCAGAACCACAAATCCAGAGTGCAGGCGTAGTGGAGTCCAATCCAGACATAATCAGTCGAGGCCTTCTTGGCTTTCTCCTGGATCCATCTCTGCTCATCCAGGCTGGTGATGGTGACCAGGTCATGGTAGTGATCTCTGCAGTAGTTTAAGGCATTCTCCCAGGTTTTATTTTCTTTAATCAGGATCACTTTATCTGTCATGTGAGTTAGCACAAATAAATCAACTTTTATACCTTATTATTATTTATTATTAAAAAGAGATTATAGCCTCTAACTTTGTTTTGTTAAAAAAAAAGTATAATTTAGTCTCAGAAAGCTATGTTCCCAGTAAACTGTTTTCTAATATACATGTTCAAGTATACATGGTTTTATCTGTCACTTAGTGAACATTGTAAAGACTGCAAGTTTAAAGAGCAAGAATAAAATCATGTAAATAGCATTATTAATATTGATCTAAATTTGAAGTATTGCAAAAAAAATAATACCTCACCTTCATAACAGATGTAGGGTTTTTTTCACTGTACATTTCTCACTCATCCATCTGCCTTCATCATCCAACACTGTCATGACACATAGACCACTGTTTGATTGCTGATTGTTTAACTCATTCTTCCAGTGTCTGAAAGAGAAACTGCTTCCATCTGACCACCTCCAGGTGTCTCTGAACAGACCAAAGTATATATGTATGTTCCAACTACCACAGAGTTTATCACTTCCTCCAGTTCTCCATCCTGTAGCTGCTTCATTCCACTGATCAGGTCTGTGTGTTTCTCTCTGCAGTAACTCTGAGCTTCCTGCCAGGTCTTCTTCTCTTTAATCAAGTGGTATTTCTGGGTTCTATTAGTTTCTGTGGAGTATAGAATCAGATTGCATTCATTTGTAAATGTTTTTTTTGGAGCTAAATTCAAAACAAATTTCACAGAAGGAAAAAAAACAGTCCACTTGACTTTGTATTCAAGATTCTTACCATCAAAACAGAGGAAAGGTATTCGGTTTTTGCAACTAGTATCTGTCCATTTGAGATTTCTATTCAAATGTCCACAATTTTCCTCTGGATCCCTGTTTACATTATCAGTTGGTTCTCCTGGGTTCCAGTTTGTCTCACTTTCATTGAACTCCACTCCAGGCAGAGACCAGTACCATGTTCTGATACCATGATCATACAGACCGATCCAAGCTTCTGTCATGTTTCCTGCTGAGTTACTGAGGAGTCTCTTCATGTCTGCCATGTTAGACACTGTGGCCAGGTCAGTGTGTTTCTCTCTGCAGTGCTGCTGAGCTTCAGTCCAGTTCTTTGGCTCTTTAATGTAGTGATACTCATAGAGCTGACAGTTGATAAACAACAATGATCTACTAAAATTGAACATATGTATGTAAATAGAATATATCACAATTGTGCAGTTGGGTGTGTGCTGTAAAATAAACCAGTCAGTGTAATTCTGCTTTAGATTAACTTACCCATAAGAAAGAGCAGAATTAGACTCCACTGCATTTTGCCTTTCCAAAGGAGTTATTGTGCCCAAACAGTTTTTCTGTGTTGGAGAATAAATTGAAATACTTCATAGTACGGTTTATAAACCCTCAGTTCCTCCAACACTGTACAGAGAAACTCTGATCGGAGAGCAGAGGAAATTAACCCCAACCTTTCTCAAAAATAAAAAGAAATTTCAAAAGATATGTATTAGCTTGAAAAACAGAAACCTACTGTATATATAAACAGTGAAGGAAATTGATTATATATTCTTTTTCTTTCCTGATGTTATCTGTATTAGTTAAATAATAACCTAGAATATGCAGTGAAAAAAACCTGATTAAATTACAGAGTCCGCCAATTGAGTCACAGGACTTGAACTTAAGTCAACAATTTTATGACTTTAACATTTTCAAACACTTTTGACTTTACCCAAACACTTGTGTGCGTGTGTTTGTGGGTGTGCGTGAATGGGCTGCAAGCACAGGGAATAAATCAACCATATTTTAAAAATATTCTTTAAATATGGTTCCAAAAGTAATTTCTTCTTTGATAAAAAAAAAACTTCAATTAACTCAATGGGGGGAAAAAAGACTTGCAAGACAATCACAGACAAACAGAAAACTATTTTCCTTGAATAACTTTTGATGTTGGATAAAATTGATAGATGGGGTGTGGCAGTCAGACTTTCGTCTGAATGGCAAGTGTGCAGTTTCTAAAAAACAAAACATGATCTGTTATTCAAATGTGATATAATATTGACCACTGCTGTACAAAACATTGAAAGAAATAGAATCTAGAAAGAAATAGAAATTAAAAGCGTCAGACTTAGAACTTGACTTGAGAACAAACTTACCTGACTTATGACCTGGGTCTGGCTTGATAATAAAGCCTTGAGAAAATAAAGACTTGATGCTTACTTGAGACTTTTAAAGCAATGACTTGGTCCGACTTTTTTCTTTCGCGATGCTCTGCTGAAAACTGTTTTCAGTCAAATGTCGATATGTTTCAGGCAAAAATCCCTGCATAGTAGCCACATTTAAATATCTTAATATTTGAATATTCAAACCAGGCAGGTCCCGTGTTCCTCACAAAACAGAATATAGATAATACAGAGGAAGGGAAAATATGGGATAAAACAAATTCTATATTTTGAGATAATACATCATCCTTGTTAAACATATTTGTAAGAAAACTGTCTTTATGCATCACTGGATGTTACTGTTTCCTATACAGTCTTAAATCTTATTATCTTCAGTTGCTTGCAAAAGTATTTGCCCCTTAAACTTTCCCAAATTTTATCAAATAACAACAAATCTAAATATATTATAATGGATTTTTAACAGAAAAACCAAACTCAAAGCTATATGCAACTGTAAAATACAAAAGCCACAAATATACCTGATTAAAGATAAAATGTTTTAAAATTAAAAAGTGGTCTGCAAAGAGTTTTAAGTGTTAAGCATTTAAGCGAATGCAACTAAATCCCTAACTCCACTACTGCCTCAATGTCAGCCTGCTCCTTTGTTTCCTTTATTTGACTACTAGGAACAAAACATTTATCCAGGTTTGTCTGGCCATTATTATAGTCACAGAGATCACACGCACAGGAAATATGTTTTTTCCCCCAATTTACTAATTTAATCCCTGGAAAAACAGATTCAAAAGATTAATGGTGAAGACAGCTAGATTAGTGAAACAACAGACAAATATGTAATAGCTTATCACACAGATAGGCCGGCTCAAATGAAACATATCTAAAGATATATAAATCATACTTCCCTCATGCAAATATGAATTATATCTTAAATGTTTCTATTGGGGTTCCCCAAGGGTCCATCCTGGGTCCCCTCCGATTCAATATCTACATGCTCCCTCTTGCTCAGGTAATAAAAAACAACAACATCAGATACCATAACTATGCAGACGACACACAGCTTTACATCACAATGTCACCAGGTGATTATGAACCAATTCAAGCTCTGAGGAAATGCTTAGAAGAAATCAATGCCTGGATGCGCCATAATTTTCTTCAACTGAATAAAAACAAAACTGAAGTAATAATCTTTGGACCAATAGAGGAGAGATCTAAAGTTAGCACACAGCTTCAGTCGCTTCAGCTAGTAACCACTGATCAGGCCCAAAATCTAGGTGTAGTGCTGGATTCAGACTTGAACCTCCAAAAGCATTTAAAGACAATTACAAGGTCGGCTTTCTATCACCTGAAGAACATTTCCAGGATTAAAGGACTAATGTCTCAGCATGATCTGGAAAAACTAATCCATGCGTTTATTTTTAGTCGAATTGATTACTGCAGCAGTGTTTTTTACAGGTCTGCCTAAAAAGTGGATCAGACAGCTGATCCAGAACGCTGCTGCCCATGTCCTCACTAAAGTAGAGCACATCACCCCAGTTCTAAAGTCCTTACACTGGTTCCCAGTATCTCAGAGAATAGACTTTAAAATACTTCTGTTAGTCTATAAATCTCTGAATGGCTTAGCACCTAAATACATCACAGACTTGCTATCAGTGTATCAACCAGACCACTCAGGTCTTCTGGCTCCAGCCTGCTATGCATACCTTGAACCAGAACTAAACACGGAGAAGCAGCATTTAGTTCCTATGCTCCACTTATCTGGAACAAACTTCCAGAAAACTCTAAAAGTGTGGAGAACCCTAACCCTAACCCTGAGTTGCTTTAAATCAACTAACCCTAAAACCTTGCCCTAACCCTAAAACCTGGCCATTACTCTAAAAGCTAACCCTAATTCTCCAAGTTCTACAAACTGGCTTGGCTATGGATCTGAGAGATACCAACAAACGTGCGCCGGCCCATGCAATGCCTTTGATCCCCTAACCAACTGCTCTAGTCGTCGGACTGGGTGCGGGGGGGTCATCGAGAGAGTGTCTAACGCCTAGCCCTAACCCTGAGTTGCTTTAAATCAAGACTAAAAACACATTTGTCTAGGATTGCCTTCGACTGAAACATCATTAGTTCAAATATTTTTTTATATTCTTTAGTTCAACTGTTTTTAATGTTCTTTTTTGTTTCTGCATTTTGCTGAAAATTCCATCCCATGCTGTTTTGCATAAATATACACTTGTAGCTGATGTAACATTTTCTACATTTTCTATTGTGGATCTTAAAGAGAGGAGGCACCTCAGTTATGTACAAAACCTGCCTTGAATGTGAACATCGCCCATCACAGATATCTTTTTCCAGTTTTGCACTAAGCTTTTTTGAGGTGAGTAGTTCAAAGCCTATCTTCTGATATGTTACTGTCCCCCTCAATATAATAACTTCCTAAATTACTTCTTATGATTTTTGTCTGGCATATGCCAAGCTATGATTTTGTTCTTATTGTTTTATTATGTTTTTATTGTTTCAATATCATTGCGTGTTTGCCCTGATAAACTGCTGGTGAAGAATTTTTAAGACCTAATTGACTCTTTTAACCAGATCCAGTCAGTAACTGGCTCCACATATGAGCAAGGCCACACATTAAATCTGATTCTCATGATATGCTTGTTTCTTATGTGGAAACATGATTCTGGCTGCTCAGATCATATGTTGGCTTTATCTGATGTTGATTTTAAGCAGTTTTTATCTAAATCCCATTCCCTTGTTTGTCACTGTTACTGTGACTTTAAGTCCATCCTCTGCAGCGGAATTTTCTAAGGCCTTTTAGTCAGTTCCCTGTCCCTCCTAAGGTGTGCTACACTGGAGTAGACAAGCTCTTCTCTTGGTTTGACTCGTCATGTCAAACAATCTAGACCCTGTAGCTGCCTAATCACACTTTCTGATCCGGATCCTTCAGCTGCAGCTCCTTACTCTTGTTTTTTTATGATGTTTGAACCTGTGACTCTCTGTTTTAACAGATGTGGTAATAGATCCCCACTGATACCTGTTCCTTCATGAGTTTTTAAGGTTTGTTCTTCCATTTCACAGATTGTCCATACCATTATCAATTTTAGTCTCTGTTCTGTTGTGGTTCCTACCAAACCGGACCAAGACGTACCTGAGTGAAATAAAGGCCCCATCCTATATTAGAGGATTTACGGTATGAAGTTGTTTTGTCAGAACTGATGTTTTAATCTATGTGGCAAAGATTTGGAAATGAAATGAGAGCGGTGTCCTTCAGCTAAGAATGAAGTGTAATATTTTGATAAGGCTCGAGCCATGGATGTCTAATCATCTGCTAACGTGTATGATGTAAAATAAGATGATGTGGCAGTTTGGAGATGTATAAAATGCCTTTTTAAATGTTAATCGGGGCAACTTCCAGAGAGGTGAGCAGCTGCCTTCTGTACATTCTAAGAAATTTCTCTGATCTGAGTAAGACTGCAATTTCTGTCAGAGTCTGTTGTCATGTCTCATGGTTATTTATTACATAAAGGTTAAGAAGTGTTATTTAAAGAGTTTGTCCCCAGTGATCTCTTTTCTGGAAATAAAATAGAGAGAGAGAGCATGAAGGTGCATACACATGCTGGACTGAATTTTTTTATTATAGTGTTTTATTATTTCTGGCTAAGCTTAGTACTTTGCTTTCAGCTGCTAATTGTTTTAAAGAGCTCTAATATAAAGTTGAAAAGGATGATGATGCTGATGATGATGCAGTTCAAAACAGATGAAAAGTGAAATAATTCAATTAGCTCCTTTTGAACAACTTACTGGGATATAACCAGTAGATGGCAGTATAGCAAAGCTTTTGCCTAAATTAACTTAACCTTTTACTTAGGTTTGATGTAAATCTTACAACAATTGAAATATCTTAAAGGAATCCAATTTTTTTAAAGTTATTATTTCTTTTTTAAT